AGTTCCAAAATATCCAGTCCAAATCTGATCAACGTTTCCTCATATGATGACCCACCCTCGCAGGGATCAGTCAAGTGAACCTCCTCTGAACTGCTTTTAATACAGTTATGTGCTTTCTTGAATAAGAAGACCAGAAGTGTTCACAGTATTCTGGATGAGGACTCACTAATGCCCTGTAGAAACATACCATTCCATTTGTCTTCATAATCACTTGCTAAATCTGGATTCTAACTTCAAGATTCATGTTCTGGGACATCCTAATCCCTCTGTACCTCAGAATTCTGCAATCTATTTAAATAATATTTAATGTTTTAAAATAATATGCTTCTAAAGAAATTCTTCCTGCCAGAATGGACAAGTTCACACATACCCACATTGTATTTCAACTGCAAAAACAATTACACACTTACCTAACTTATTTATATCCTGTATTCATTCCTTACGTCTTCTTCACAGCTTATTTTCTGACTGGTCTCTATATCATCAGGAAATGCAGCAAGCCCAGACACTCAGTCCAAGTTTTTGGAATGGTTTGCAAAATGTTGCAGCTCCAGCACTGATCCAAGTGGAATAATACATCCTGCTCACCCCAAAATAACTTGGCTTGCTAATGTACCAAGAATCCATATGTACATGACCGTCAGCATTCTCTTGTATGCTGCCCAATGAGGCTGTCAACTAAATTTTCTGCCACAGAACTCATGAGTAATCTTGCACGTCAGTGAACTTGCTATCCTCCTCTTGTCCAGATTTCCCAGTCAGGCAAAAAACGCTGACCCCGACGCTACATCGAATGTACATGCAGAGCCAGTATCTTAGCTGGTTGCTGCAGTGATGGTGCTTCTTAATCAGAAGCCTACTGTTGTTTGCACCCTTCATGATGAGACTGCACTGGTCAGGCCAGTTGGCAATGCTTTGTTTTTTTTTATGGTTTGTAAGCATTACCCGTAAGGCCAGAATTTGTTGCACATTCCTAGTTGTCCTCAAGATCATGGTAACAGGTTGCCTTCTTGAACGCTGCAGTCAATCTAACGTGAGTACACGCACAATGGTGCTGAAGCTCCAGGATTTTGAACCAATGACACTGAAGAAACAATATATTTCTAAGTCACAACAGTGAGTGGCTTAGAGGGGAACTTGTAGGTGGTGGGGTTCCCATGTATCTGCTACCCTTGTCCTTCTAGATGGTAGAAGTCATGGGTTTTAAAAGGTTTTGTTTCAGGATTTTAGCCAATAGGACATTTGATGCTCTATAACAAAGGAATGGAAAGGTAGGGAGTTGTAAAACAATAGTGATAGAGGAGAGAAATTTCAAGGGAACTGGGATCTAAGTAGGTGCTCATGGATAGCCAATCTGGAGTGAAAGGGCTCTTGGACATCATCTCCTTCCAACTTCTTCTCCGCTAAAGGTCTCCTCTGAAGACTAGCTGGCAAAGGATGCGCCCTCAGGAGACCAAAAGTTTGAAAAAAGTGTTCACTGCACCAAAATGAAATATAATGCTAATGCCTTTTAATAATGTTAGTTATGTTAATTATTAATTAATCAATCAAATTAATTAATCAAAAAGAAATCACCCATCCAGATTTCAAATATTAGTGAAATAATAAGTTTGGATTTTCAGAACAAAATTTGTTAATCAAAACTAATTGTATAATATTTCAGGAATTTTAACTTATTTCAAAAGTTCTTCCTCGATAGGGTCTGAAGAAGGATCTAGGCCTGAAACATCAGCCTTCCTGCCCCTCTGATGCTGCTTGGCCCGCTGTGTTCATTCAGTTCTACACCTTGTTATCTCTCTTCTTCCTCAATAGTTGGTTAAAACAATGCTGGCAGAATTATATTCATTTAAAATATTAAATGTCAGGGTGACACCTTCCTTTACTGTCTCATTGCAGCTTAAAATGTTTGGTATCAAGAAATAATGAAGCTCTGGTATGCAGCAGCATATACCAGGCATCCTTTCCTTGTCTGAATAAAAATTAAGCTGCATTTGTAATGGCAGTCAGGTGAAGAACGGATGAAGGAGAATATTGAAAGTTAGGACAAAAAAACCTACACCTTTCATTTAAAGTATTCGCCTTAAAATATAAAAAAAATGTATTAATGCCCCCTATAGGTGGTTTTGAACTCAGATTTTTAAAAAAAATACTTAATGCTGAGCGCAGGCACAATGTTCAAAAGGACAGAACAATCTGGGTGGTGGTAAATTGATGTGCATGACTGAATTCACAACTTCCTCATCATTTAGATGAGGTAATGTATTAGATTAATGTGAAAACGGTTTTTTTTAAAACTAAAGATCTGGAACCTCAGTATGAACCTCTCATTCTTTTAGCCGAGTTGGAGCTGAGCCAAGATTCTGGAGGGTTTGTCACTGTGAGGCCTACTGAGTTCTAATGCCCTGGCTTGCCAAACATACCTCATTAATTATCTAATATGCACCAATAGCATCCCTCACAATTTCTGCCTCCATTTTATCACGTGCCATTCCTGGAACAACTCGCCACTCAGCAGGTATCGCAGAATTCATCAGCATCCTGTGTGATCGTTCCATCTTTAAAAAACCTATTGTGCACCCAGACAAGCACTATCAGTCTACAGCTCCCTTCACCTTTGCTGACCTTTGCTCCGGACTTGACAGCCAGGTGGAAATTGGTACACCGCATTCTGGGCAGGGTCCTGGAAGTCCTGTTGGACGGGATGGTGCCAGCGTGAGATCAGTAGTGGAGGCCACTACGCCAGACCATGTTCTGAGGTTGCTACCTGGGTAGAACTACTAAACACTAAGAAGAAAGTCAATGTCCTTCTCCACTGTGCAAGTGTAAACACCACAATCTTCTCTCCAATATCTCACACTCATTCTCTCTGCTACTGTAAGCGCCTCCAATTATGGTTAATGCTGTACCACTGTCACTACTGCCATCAACATCTTCACCACACAATCTCATCCACCCCAAACCCGACACCAGGAAACATATATGACATGTATACACTAGGTTATAACTGGGTTATACCAGATATCAGCAAGCATCAACCACAATATGGTCACAGTGGACTCAAGACATTAACACTATTTCTCTCTTCACAGATGCTGCTAGATGTATTGAACTTCTCCAGCACTTTCTGTTTCTATTTTGGATCTCCAGGATCTTAGTTAGTTTGCTTTTATCAGTCATAAGATACATTGGTACATGAGTTAAAACTACATTCAGGTCTTAGCAAGCTTGATTCACAAAAAGATTAGATAGGATTTATGCTGGTGAAGTGGGCATAAGGATCATAGAAAGGGATATAGATAAGTTAATTGAGCGGACAAAGAATTAAAAATCTGGATTACAATGTAGTAAAGTATGGAATTGTCCATTTTGACAAAAATACTTTAAAAAGAACATATTATCTAAATGGTAAGAGATTGCAGAGCTCTGAAATGCAGAGAAATCTTGGTGTCCTTGTGCACGAATCGCAGAAGGTTAGTATGCAGGTATAGCAACTGATCAGTATGAGTCACAAAAAGTCCAAGTTCGGTGGATAATAGGGAAGGTAAATGACTGTTGGCTTTCATTTCAAAGTAATTGGAGTGTAAAAATGGGGAGATTTTGCTAAAACCATACAAGGCACTGGTCAGATCATAGCTGATCTGCTCCTATATCCTATAGGCTTATCTTACAATTGTTTTTGCCTGCTTAGTAAGGATAGATACCCAAGTAGAACACGTAAAAAACTGTAGAAAAGTTAATCTTACCCTTATTTGCTGTCATTATACAGTTTGATTTTACGAGATGCATCCATCCTGAACTTAAGCACTTGAGATCATGTGCATGCACATCTGTAGGCGGCCAGCATGTTTATTCATACAGCCAATCCCTTTTAATCTGCATTTGTACGCGTGAGCATTCTGCCATACTCAAACATGTGAATGTACAAACATATGAAATAGGAGCAGTAGACCTGACAGTCCTTTAAGCCTGCTCTGCCATTCAATAAAACCATGGCAGATCTGTTTGAGCTTCAACTTCCATCTATCCCTGACAACCTTTAATTCCATTCCTACCAAGAATTTTTCTACCTCCACCTTAAAAATATTCAGTGACCTGATTTCCATTACCTTCTGAGGCAGAGGGTTACAAAGACACAGAACTTTCCAAGAGAAAATAAATTACCTTCATCTTAATCCTAAAAGGCCATTCTCTAATTTTAAAACAGTTGCACCCTATTTCTGGACTCACAGGAAATATCTTTTCCACCTCCACCTTATACCGCTCATTCCAGGTATCAATCCAGTAAACTCCCTTAAACTATCCCCAGTGCATTAATCAACTTGTTCAGGCACACGTCTGGAACAGATGGGACTTGAACCTGGACTTTCTGATCCAGAGGCAGAGACACTAGCCACTGTGCTACAAGTGCCCTCCCAATGCATTTCTATCTTTCCTTAATAAGGAGACCAAATTGCACAGAGTATTCAAGATATAGTCTCATCAATACCCTGTATAACTGAACATAACATGCTTACATTTATGTTTAATTCCTCTTGTAATAAAGGACAGCATTCCATTAGCCTTTTTGATAACATGCTGGACTTGTACGCTAACTTTGCCACTCAGGCACCCTAATACCTAGCTTTCTCTGCACCTCAAAAATTTACAGTAGTTTTCTGTTAAGGTAAAATTCTGCTTTTACATTCTTCCAAAGAGAACAAATTCAAATAATACTGCATCTGTGAGATTTTTGCTCAGTCACTCAACTTGCCTACATCCATCTGCCACTTCCTTATCTCTTCTTCAGTCCATACTTTCCTACTAATTCCTGTGTTTTCTGCAGATTTAGGTACCAAACCTTCACTATACTTAGCTAAGTCACTGATATAAATTGTAAAATGTTGAAGCCACAGCACAGACCCTATCAGACCCCACTCATCACATCCTACCAACTCATTATTAGATTTTATTTCAAGGGTTCACTCAAGAAGAAATGAATAAACTGGTGATAAAGTACCTACCAGTTCCCATTGTGCAGGCCACATTGGATCACTGAACTGCAGTGCATTTTGATCTTTATGTTCTGAGTTCAACACATTGAAGATTGCTGTGGGAATAGTATCATGCTTTTCTCGATCTGGAAACCACACAGAAATATTAGTCATTTCTCTCTTATTGGGATTCAAATTTAGCAAAAAAAAAAGTTCCCAATTAACGTTAAAAATACTTTAATGAACTGACACATTTCTGTTGCTATTAAAATGTCCCAGAATTTTAAAAATTCACAACTTTCCCACTGGGCAAACAAAATATTTTTCTTTAATCATATAAACTAGAAAGGACAGTGTCCTGTTACCATACAAATGTTGAACATGCTGGTATCAATTCCCTACCAGCACTTCTTTTTTTTAAATGGACAGTAAAATACTTTCACTATAAAAAGTTTTGAGAAAAAAAAATCAGTGTCATTTAGGTGAGAATGGATTACTAAGGAAAGCCAGCATAGATTTGTTAAGCAAGTTGTGGTTAACTAACAACTGAGTTTAATGATGAGGTGACTGGGAGAATTGACATGGTGTATATGGTCTTCCAAAATTGTTTTCATAAATTTCCACAATAGGCATGTCAGCAAGCTTGAAGCCCAAGGGTAAAAAAGAGACAGTGGCAGTATGGATATGAAATTGGCTAAAGGAGACAGAGTGCAGGATTGATTGGATGCTTTATGAACTGATATTTCTAGGGGTCCAAGAACTTGGATTTGGATGCATATGGCTCCATTTCAATATTTGTAGATGACTCAAATATGCAGGTGATGCATATTAACTGGTGTTTCAGTTGAACCCATATGTAAAAAAATACACAAATTAAAGCAATGGCTGTTGGGTCAGGAAGTGTATGCCTGTGGAAGTTGACTGCTGTTCCAAACTTCACTTGCTGGCTTGCAGGAATAAAACATGTTGTGAATATGGTCATCTAAAAGTTGAAGATTGAAAGTAAGGAAAAGAAAAATCAGGTTGAAGACTACAGTTCTCATAGTCATTGTGAAAAATGGCAGAGCATAAGAGTACAGTGTCCAGGTGTGCTAACTCTCTCAATTTCAAAGAGTCTGAACCATTTGATCAGTGTAAGACTAAAAGTTCATAAATGGACATGGGCTATGTCCCTGCCAACCAGAAAGCAAATCACGGCCTTGACATTGTCACATCGGACTAGAAATAAAATCAGAAGGAAAGCAGTTTGTGAGCTGAAGGCCCATTGCTGGGATGCTGAAGGAGGTTTGGTCCTTCTGCTAGGATTCTTGGATGCAGTTTATGAAAAAAAGATAAATATAGTCTGTGGAAATGGTAATGAGGAACAACAGAACACTAAGGAGGTCATGTATTCCAACAGGGTTGATCACAGGCTGGTGGAATAGGTGGACATATGGTAGCTGAAATTTCATGCACAGAAACAGGAAATAAATTTTTGAATGAAGGAAGACCCAAAACAGTATGAAATAAACAGTGCGATTCTACAGGGGGTGCAGGACCAGGGAGAGCTGGGGTAGACGGGCACAAATAGCTGAAGGTGGCAGTTCACAAAACCATTTAAAATTTACATAAATTAACTGCTTGTGACACAAAAGGTGCACACATGTACCTTTGCTAAAGTAATCCTAGACTTCTAAGTTTTTCTGAAAATGCTGAGCATTTATTGAAACCTAGATCACATAAAATGATAGGATCTTAATTTCTTTCTCCTTCCAATTTTTTTCATCCATGCCTGAATACACGGATTCATGCTGTATTACATGTATATTGATCTAGAAAGTCTTCCATGATCTTAGTGGTCATTCTCCATGTCAGTTAACAATCTTACTGTACAGGCGCAAGTCAGCTTCTGGCCTCACCAACATCTACACGTATGCTTTCCCGAACCAGAATCCAAAAATATGAATAGAGGTATTGAAGAATTTTTACCTTCTCTAGTCTAACTACATTGGTATATAGTAATTCACCTTTTAGCCAGGCCAGTCTGTACTGCTCACCAAGATCAGGTTAGCCTACTGACACCATTCACCTTCCATTGCTCCATACGCTTTAATAGTTTCCTCTCCGACAGTGTGTTCAGGGTCAAACAGGAGAGGTTAGAATGAGAGTTCAAGGCAGCCTTACAGGTCTGGTTGCTTCTCTAATTTGCAGGTTCACATTTAGAGTCCACATTTAGAAATATATATCAAAGTGCAACATAACATGGACGCACTGTGTTGGGCGGGGGGTGGGTTGATTTGTTGGTGATTGTTTACTATTCATTCCATCTTATAGACTTTAAAGACAGTGTGAATAACAGTTGAGTCCTATCTTATATTTTTACTTCAAATTTATTATTACGAGTAAGATGCATTAAGCATTATTAAGGTGTATTCATAGTAGTAGGGTTTATTTGTGTTGGTAAACCTTCATTAATATGTGTAAAGTAATATGCATTGATAGGATTATTGATTCACAGATGAATGCACACAATTTTGAATGTGTGCATCCTGTCTATACAGAGATTCAAGGATACTTTTATGTCTTGGATAACCATTTCTGCAAGAAACATTGTCAGTTGCAGCAAATCAAGCTCTGGCTTTCAGCAATTCCACAGCAGCTGGCATTTACTGTAATGCATCCACGAAATGGAGAACTTCATGGATAGCATGTTTAAAAATGTGACCACCTTGCAGCAAAACATCTTACAGAGAGATGGGGTATGAGTGACCACCAAAAAGTCGAAAAGAATAGGGAAGAGGTGTAGCAGTCCGATGAGTACAACCGCAGTCCAACCAGTATTCTGATGAGAGTGATGGTTCATTTGTTGATTGCAGCTGGAGTCAAGGGTCTGGCATCATAGACGGGTACAAGGAATATTGCAGGAGCAACATGATAGGTAATTCATCAGTTAAGGGGATAGAGGAGTGTTCCTGCAGACATGAATCCAGGATGGTGTACGGCTTTCCTTATTTGGATCAAGGATGCCACTGAGTAACTGCACAGGACCCTGGGTGGGGTATAACATGTATATCAATCAACAGTGATGATGCATATTGGCTTCATTGACATTAGCAGAAAGAGGGATGTGGTGCTGCAGTCAGACATCTGGGAGTAGGTAAGAAATTAGTAAGCAACACTGCCAAAGTAGCAATCTCCAGATTGCTCCCAGTTCGAGGCACATGTGACCATGGCATTAGAACAATAAAGCAAATGAGTGACTGGCCAGAAAAAATGGCATGTCAGGGGGAATTGGGGTGGGGGGGCACTTTAGATTCTTGGAATATTGGGACTGGCTGGGGGCAAGATGGTGTGCACATGAATAGAATCAGGGCAGAATTCCTTCTGGGTGATTTGCTAATGCAATTGGGAGGAATTAAAGACTTACAAATTAATACCAAACAGAAATATTTTTTACACACTGAATGCAGGGAGAGAAATTATTATCGAGCTATCTAAATTAATAGGTGGGGTCAGAGTAAAGGAGAACATAATAAAGTCTAAATCAGAGTTACACTGCTTGTATGTGAATGCATGGAGTATGTAAAGAAGATTCACCAGTTGAGGCAGAAATTGTCATGTGGAAATGTGATTTTGTAACAACATCAAAAAGCCTGGCTTAAAGGGCTATTGAATAGTCCCAGATACAGGACGTTCAGGAAATGAAGTAAACAAGGAGAGTTGACAAAATTGATTAAGGTGAGCAATACAATGTTGGAGAAAGAGATCTGTCCCAGAGGGCCAAAGGACAGAATCTATTTGACAAGAGCTAAGGACCAAAATAGATACAATTACATTGCTTGGTGTAGTCAATTGGCGGCCAACTAATATGAAGGATGTAGATGAACAAATTCACAAAGAAATTACAGAAAAATGCAAAAATTATGCAGTAGCCATAATGGGAACTTTAATTAGCCATATATACACTGAAGTAAAAATTGTTTAAGGGCAGAGAAAGGCGATAGTGCCTGGACTGCTTCAGAGAAATTTTTGGCTGCAGTATACGTCAATCCAACAAAAAAAAGGCAGATGTTGCTGGTTCCTGGGAATGAGTGGACCAAACTGATCAGGTGTTAAGAAATAATTTAGAGTAGAGTGGTCATATCATTAGATTTAGGCTGATTATGCATAATGACATTGAACAATGTAGAGCAGGAACAATAAACTGGAAGAAAGCCAACATCAAATGGGGAAGAATGGATCAGAGCTGATTAAACTGAAGCCAATGTTTGGCAGGAGAAACGGTAGCTGAACAATGGGATACTGACAAGGAGATGGTCTTGGTGTAGTCAAAATCCTCTCAAATGGAAAGGTACTGCAACCAAATCCAAAGTTTCCCAGATGACAAAAAAGACAGAAATAGAAAAGAAGAAAAGTGAGCTTGTGACAGATATTAAGCAGAAAATGCAATGAAGATCTAGACTGAATATAGAAGGTTCAGATGGGAGGCGAAAAGGCAAATTAAAGAAGCATAGAGGAGGCACAAAATGACACCGGCAGTCAATAAAAAAAGGGAAGCCAGGAAAAGACACGATTTCAAAATTTGTGAATGATACAAAACTTGTAAGCATTTTAAACTAAGAGAAGGACAGTGTAGAACTTCAACACGACAAAAACAAGTTGGTGGAATGGGTGGCCATCTAACAGAACAACCTCAATGCAGAGAAATGTGAAGTAATTCAATTTGTAAGAAAGCACATGGAAATATGATGTAAAATACAGGGCACAAATTTAAAGGGGGGGTTCAGAAAAAATATATATATACTTAAGTCATTAAAATGGCAGGGTATTTTCAGTAAGTGATTAATAAAGCAAGCGGCGACTTAGGATTTGTTAATAGGAGCATAAAATACAAAAGTAAGGTAGTTATGTTGAATTTGTACAAAATGCTAGTTTGGTTTTAGCCAGAGTATTGTATCCATTTTGGGGCAATACACTTGAGGAAGGATGTGAAGAGAGTGAAGAGTTGGAGAATGCAGAAGGGATTTATGATGCAGTCCATCTGTCCTGGTGTTGTGCATAGACAGCCAAATATTGCTGGGTTGTGAATGGATTCTGTTCTTGAGTCCGTTGGCAATCAATTTGTATGCAAGTCTGAACATGATGCATGAAAATACAAGGGAGCTGT